GGAGGATACTTATAGAATCTATCGTGAAGGGCTGTTGTGAGATTTGAATAAGATAATCTATGTAAAGTGCTTGGAACAGGGCCTGGAACACAGTAAGTGCTCAATGAATATTTCTTGTCCTTATACATTATTCTCTTTTGTGTTCCCAGGACCTAATAGAGTGGCTAGAACATTTGTTTTTGAACATTTATTGAATACCTACTGCCTGAGATACAAAGTGAAATAAAACACGGCCTCTACTCTCAAAGAATTTAACTTTAGTCACAGAGAGAGATAAGCAATTAACAATCATGGTCCAGCTGATAAAACGCTAAGTGAAAGTTACTTTGAGATCACAGAATAAAGTTATCTGAGTCAAACTGTGGAGGTGAAAATGTATCTGAATTGTGCAGAATAAATAAGAGTTAGATAAACAGGGAAAAGGAGGAAGATTCATCTACAGAGAGGGAGCACACATGAAAAAGCACTTACGTATGAAAGTCTCATGTTTAGGAAAATAGATGACTTTTTATGTGGCTTAAGCAAATAGTATTTGGTGACATTTAGGCCCTCTAGGGAGATAGACTGGCAGGACTAGCAAACAGATTTTAACTCTGGTCTGTTGGTGGTGGCTGCCTGGAACATGGCATTGAGAAGGCTTCTGAAGCCACGACCAGTCTCTGTGGGAGAGAATGATGGACACATTAGTTCCATTTGTTCTGGGAGGAGAAGAGGGGAGTGGGAGCCTGCATGTCACATATCTGCCATTATTGATAGATTATGTAAGGTCTCATATGCTGTATTAGAAGTTGGATTTTATCCTGAAAACTATGGGGAATAATTGAATGATTTTAAGTATGGGAGCGACACGATCACATTACATAATAGGTGTCCCATAAATGCTTGTTAGATTGAACCAACTATGAGCCCCACTTCACCTATTAATGATTTAGTGTGTCAAATGCACCCAAATGATCTGAACCCAGCAAATAAAACAAGCATAGCTGAGCCTGCCATGCTCAGAGCACTGTGCTAAGTGCCGAACACATTAGAGCAGCATCTAAAGGTGCTTAACATGCTCCCGTGGTGTCATTTACACAGTAAAATAGTCTGATTCACAGAGCAGTTTCAAACGGAGGATTAAAATGGGATTAATAATTGATGCAGCTATAATATTTCATGCTATGAGCTGGCGTATCTCAAAAGAAAGACTTCCAGGGGGCTTTTTGAACCTTTAACCATCCTGCTGATCACAAATCAAGCAGTAAGAAATTGATTGGAAGAAACTGATTGTAATGTTTTAAAATATAAATGTATTGATATGTTTTTATAAATATTTCTAATAGGCATTTCATTTGTAATTAGGTAGAAACGGCTCTAAGATTTGGGATATTAAAAAAAAATACTCAGACTTATTATTCTTATTAAGAAAATAAATTAAAACCTTAAAACTGTATCATGTGTTATTGCAATCATTATGTTTTAACTGTGACAGGTTAAAAAATATCTTGTGAGAAGCTGTGCTTCTGAAAGAATACACAAAGGGAGGTTCTCCTCAACAAATTTAGTATAATAGCCAAAGGCATATATTTCTATCGATTTTTTCCTTGATTACAAAGGGATTTGAAATAGCATAGAACAAAGCAAGCAATATAGCAAGGAAAAATTAATTTAAAATAACTACAAATGGTGGGGCAGAGAGAATTAAAATGTAAGGAAACCCGATGGAATTCACACGTGAGATTAGTGTGAGAAAGTGTATGTATCTCAAGACACTCGGGCCAAGCAACAGAGTTCTTACTATGTACCAAGAAGAAAACTAAAGTATATGACATTTCTGATTTAATTACTATAAATGAAAAGACCAAAACCAGATTTTTCAGATACTGCCTAGAAATGATTAAAAGAATCAGTGAAGATACTGAGGTTAAGATTAAAATTTGTACCACACTGACCAACCATTTCACTCTTTCTTATGTGTCTGTTTTGTCTTTGTAGCTTTCTGGCATTTCCTCCCTTGGACTTCCTATTATTATGCAGTCTGACAATGGCTATAGATCAGTATGGAAGAGTTTTGTCTTTGTAACAATATTCTTGTGTGCAGTCACATTTCAGGGGTTGAGGGTAAGAGGAAAGGATTTGGGCTGCAAACAATATGAACAGACAGTAGTATGTCTGTGTTACTACTTTCTAGCACAGTTCCTAATATACAGTTGATACTCAATAATTGTGAGTTGAAAGAAGAAATAAAGCTTCACAAAATTTATTAATCCTTGTAAAAATGTGTAGCCACTAAAGATGTATATCTATGTGGTACCTTTATCATAGCTTCCAAAACTCAATTCTTAATTCATAGGGTCATGTTACCTGGACATTCAGTTCTAAAAGCATCTAGTCTACAATGCAGCCCTAAGAAGAAGGTTCATTAGGAAGACAAGGAATAGAAGTAAAGAAAAATCAAAGAGAGGGCACACAGCAACTCCTCTTTCTTTGTTGTTCAGTTATTTGCTGTTTCCTTAATTCATGCTTCTGTGAAAACAGGAAGACCTCCAGGGCTTCAGACAAGACTCTCCCACCCAGCTGCCCCTTGTTCTCAGAAAGGGTCTTCTTTTATTGTTGTTGTTTTGTTTTAAGCTTCCTTCCATCCAGACTAGAACACTTAAGAGATTTGGGAAATAAAGAGATCTTTACATATATATATAAATTTGTGCCAGGTGCTTCGTTAACCAATTCAGCAGATTATACTGTTTAATTCTCATAGAAAGTTTGATAGTCATCATGTATATTTGCATTTTCTAAATTAAGAAACTACTGCTCACAAAAATATCTAGATTCAGGAATCACAAATAATGGGATGGAGCTGGGATTCAACCACACATCTACCGAGTTTCTTTCCCCTTTAGGGTGCAAGAGAGGTACTTTCACTCAAACCTTTCTCAAGGTTTCATTGTTTATTACAACCCTCTATGCTCCATGATCATGAGCTGCAGTAATCTTCCACTGGAATTGGCATTAATAGTGTTTATAGTCCTAATACATTTGGCATTAACTGTTACAACAGATCAATCTAGTTGGCCAAGTACTCTACAATGATCTATTGTTTGAGCAGAAAAAGGTCGCCATGGCAAGAATTTCTATATCGTCACAAACACAATAGATCTCTAGTTCCATGAGTTGGCCATTAAAGTGTGTTATTCAAATTACCAATATGATACAATGATGATGATGAAAATGATGACGACGATTGTAACACTCTCATTTAGTGAATATTTAGCATGTGTCAGGGGTTGCTTTAAACACTCCTGTTGTGTCATTTTACCTTAATAATAATTCTAGGAAAAAGGTGTTATTGTCCCCATTTTATAGATGAGAAAACTGAAGCTCAGAGTTGTGACTTGCTGAGTTCTTGTAGTACTAAATGGCAGAGCTGATTTTGAACCCAGATTTGATGCTCATGCTCCTATTTTTAGCCAAGATGCCACATAACCTCCTACAATAACAATTGGCATTATGGTGCTTTCCTTTAAATTTTAATTTTGCTTTCATATCCCTACCAGGATTGCATTTGTTAGTGTGTGTGTGTGTGTGTGTGTGTGTGTGTGTGTAGTATGCGATTGTAATTAATTCTGCCATAAGGGAGAGTTTCACAGATCCAAGTGTCTTCTTGGCTAGAATATACTGTTGTTGTTTTTTTATGTAACTTAATTTTGCTATAACTTATCACTTATTTTCTTTTTTTTTTTTATCCTCACCCGAGGACATTTTTCCATTTTTTGTACAGATAGAGTGGGAGGGAGAGAGAGGAAGGGAGAGAGAGAGAGAAACATCGACGTGAAGGGACACATCGAGTGGCTGCCACCCACACGACCGACCAGGGCCGGGGACAAACTGCAACCGAAGTACGTGCCCTTAGCGGGAACCGAACCCGGGTCTCTCCGGACCGCAGGCCGACGCTCTAACCGCTGAGCCAAACCGGCCAGGGCTATCACTTATTTTCTATAATAATCTTCAGAACATGCTACTATATTATTTTACTTCATTCATATGTATGCATATGCATATATACTATGAAGAACTTGTGACTATAATCTCAGTGACATATATAATATGAAGAATTTGTGACTATAATCTTCAGGTGAAATGGTGCCCCATTGCATGACCCAGCTTCTGCCACTTTCCATTCATCTAATATGTACCGAGTACCACTATTGGTGAGATTCTCTGATAGACATCCAGGACACAAAGGTGTGAGGGTTTGGCTCCTGCACTTAAGGTATACATAGTAACTTATTCTGGTTTGTATTTACAGCACAGATAAGGTTGGTCTTAAATTAGTGGAATAGTCCAAGTATAATTAGGGAAATATAGTCCAGTAATCCTGTTCCCCACTTTCCATAAAAGAGTAGCAGTAATTTATAAAGTACCTATGTTTAGCGTGCAGAATAAGAAAAATCCAGTAGCCTATGGAGAGATTCTAGTTAGTTCCTGTTCAAAGAGTTGCCCAAAGTCCTGGAACACAAGATATTAAAAGGGCCCCAGAAACAAAGAGAGATCATCTTCATAACTATTAGAAGATTCTACTATTTTAACTGTATTATCCAACGCCTTGAGAAAAACATGCCTATAGTCAAATCCTGGCTTCTTCAGCCACTGTCTGTATCATGTTGCCATATTATATAACCTTTCCTGAGCCTTGAGCCTTCTTTGTAAAACAGAGATAATATTGTCTTTTATTGGTTTGCTTATGTATTCATTCATCTAGAAAACGTTTTTAAAATACCTGCTACATCTCAGGCCTTGTGCTGGGTGTAGATGAACAATATTCAACAAGACAGACACTGTTCCTGCCCTCATGAACCTTCCAGGCTGGTGAGGGAGAGAGGCAATACATGAACTGGGGGCTATGATAGAGAATAAAGGGAGCACATTGCTTTCAAGTGGGTGGTCAGAGAGGCCTCTCTGCGAGGCGTCACTTAGACTGACATCTGAAGAATGCAAAAAGTTCACTTTGTCAATAGCAAATGGGAAAAGTGTTTCAGGTAAGGGAAGTGGTTTGTGCAAAGGCCCTGGATTGGTAAACAGGAGTTGAGAAACTAAAAGTAGCCTAGTAGATTGAAAGATAAAACAAAGAGGGCATTATCCTAAAAATTGAATATTATCTACCACAAACCCCGGTAATTCCACCCCTGAGTGTATGTCCTAGAGAAATTCTTGCCTATGTCTATTAGGAGACACATGTAAGAGCACTCCTAGTAGCGCTAAGCTTTGTTCATGGTAGAACAAAACTAAAACAACAAACACTGACAGAAGAGAAGTGAGTCTTGGTATACTCACACAGAGGTGAAAATGAATGTAATATGCTCTTCAGACCACCAAAGATGAATATAAACATTATTTTGAATTCGAGAAAGAAAATAATTAAAAAACAACTTATAACATTGTTTACTGTGCATTTAAAATTATCTTAGAATGTTAAAAAATGTTACAATATTTAATTTTTGTGGATGCGTATTATATTGTAAAAGGTTTTTGGTGGTGGTTTTGTTTTGTAAAAAGATTTTTTAAAAGCAAGGGAATTGAAACTTCTGTGTCTGGGTAAGATGTTAAACCGGAGAGTAAATTTACCTGTCTGTCTTAACCAGCCACGAAACTAGAAGATTGCTGTATGAAACAATGGTTTTCAGAACTGGATGGCAGCAGAGCAGGACTGCAATGCCTGAGTGAAGGCAAACAAACTGGGGAGCAGTGATTGCATCACCTTACCCTCTGGGAGGAATTTCCAGGTGGTAGAGCAGAAAGGGTAAACCAGCGGTCCTGCTGAGCGGAGGAAACAGCCCCGACTTCCTGGCAGTGCAGGGCAGGGGAGGGGCCCTAGGGGGCACCTGAACGTCGTTGGCGGAGTACCATCTACCCTTGGGTGAGACCTGCTTACCGGGGTCAGGGAAGGACCTGGAAGAAAGGAATCGGCAGAACAAGTCCTGGACCTCACACAGGACTGGGAAAAGTTCTCGTTCCCACAAGTCAAAGTAGGACAATCTCATAACATATGAAGCATCAGGTAAGAATCTTAGAAGTTAAACGCCTTGGCAATGAGCCTGAAACCTTACTAAAGGCTGCTGTGGACCCAAAATAAAAAGCTTAAAAGCAAGTTTCATTGGATCCAAGTGTAATCTTTTTAATTGAGTGCCAGGAAACAAACAAACAACAAACATTGATTTAAAGAAATACAAGAAGACCTAGCAACTAGCAACATAAATTCACAATGTCCAGTAACTGATTTAAAAACAGTAACTACGAGACCGGCGGCTGCTGATCCTGGCAGTCTGGGTGGGTGCGAGGAACAGTCACCCCGATTCCTCAGAGGCTCTCGGGGTTCTGCTCCGTCACTCGGTCCGCAGTCTCAGTCCACTGCAGGAGGAATATTGGTGTTACAGCAGTGGCACTCAGTAGGGAACTTGATCCTGTACAGAAAGTCTTCGTGGACGAGATTAGAGAATCCAGATCTAAGCGACAGGCGTCTGCGGGGCCTGTTGCTACTGGCCCAGAGCACCGGCGAGAGTTGGAGAGGGAGGTTTTCCAGCTTAAGCAAATGTACGGTAACGCAGACATGAATGCGTTCCCTGACTTGAAATTTGAAGATACCAAATTTGAAGTCAGCAAAAAACCTCAGTCCTGAAGAAATAATGTAAAATTTAACTGGCAGTTGTCCTCGATAAGTGGTACAACTGATCCGAAGTATCAGAATAAACAGACACTTCACAACTGTCAAGTGTTCTTTTAATTCTGATTCCAAGTACATTATTTGGTGATGTGGGGTGAAAAACAACAACAACTGGGAGGCATGCAGAGAAGCAGAAAATAATGACCCAGAACTTAAAAATCAATCAATAGAAACAGGCATAGAAATAATATTGAAGATGGAACTAGTCAATAAAGACATTAAAACAGCTATTACAAATATGTTCAAAAGGTAGGGTACTGTTTAGCAATAATAAAGAGAAAATTTAAAGATGTGGAAAAGACCCAAGAGGAACTTCTGGAGATAAAAAATATATATAATATGCAAAGGAAAAAATACACTGGACAGCATTTGTGCATTTCTACCAAAGTGCATCTTTGGTAGGAAACATATATTGAATCTTGCTTTTTAAAATCCAGTCTAACAATCTCTGACTTGATTGGAGTGTTTAGCTCATTCTTATTAGATGTAATTATTAATATAGTTGGTTGAGGTAGGCCATTTAGCAGCTTTTTTTTTTTTTTTTTTTTTTTTTTTTTTTTTTATGTATTTTTTTTTATTTTTTTGTTACATATATTTTACATTTTTACACCATTGGCACCCCCCACCCCACCCCTTCCACCCTGTCCCCGGCTTAGTTGTCCATGTCCATTGGTCATGCATACATGCATATAAGTTCTGTGGTTTATCTCTTCCCACCCCCCCACCCCGGATCCCCTCTTCTGAGGGATGTCAGTCTGTGCCCTACTTCCATGTGTCTGGGTCTACTGTATTCCTCAGACTGTTATGTTCATTATATTCCGTATATAAGTGAGATCATGTGGTATTTGTCTTTTTCTGCTTGGCTTCTTTCACTTAGGATAATACTTTCCAGGTCCCTCCATGTCGTCTCAAAGGATAAGAGATCTTTCTTTCTTACCGCTGCATAGTACTCCATTGTGTATATGTACCACAGCTTTTTGATCCATTCGTCTACTGGTGGACACTTGGGCTGTTTCCAGATCTTAGCTATTGTAAATAGTGCTGCTATGAACATGGGGGTACATATATTCTTCCTGATTGGTGTTTCAGGCTTCTTAGGGTATATTCCCAGCAGTGGGATCACTGGGTCAAATGGAAGTTCAATTTTTAATTTTTTGAGGTAGCACCATATTGTTTTCCATAGCGGCTGCACCAGTCTGCATTCCCACCAGCAGTGTATTAGAGTTCCCTTTTCTCCACACCCTCGCCAACACTTGTTGTTTGATGATTTGTTGATGGCGGCCATTCTGACAGGTGTGAGGTGATACCTCATTGTTGTTTTAATTTGCATCTCTCTGATGATTAGTGATGTTGAGCATTTCTTCATATGTCTCTTGGCCATTTGTATGTCCTGTTTGGAGAGGTGTCTATTCAGCTCCTCTGCCCATTTTTTAATTGGGTTCTTTGTCTTCCTTTTGTGGAGTTGTGTGAGCTCTCTGTATATATTGGAAATTAACCCCTTATCTGATACATCATTGGCAATGATGTTCTCCCATACAGTGGGTTGCCTTTCCATTTTGATGATCGTTTCTTTTGCTGTGCAGAAGCTTTTTAGTTTGATGTAGTCCCATGTGTTCATTTTCTCCTTTATTTCTGTTGCCTTAGGTGATGTATCAGTGAAAATTCTGCTCCGTATGATGTCCGAAATTTTGTTGCCTACATTTTCTTCTAGAATTTTTATGGATTCACGGGTCACATTTAAGTCTTTTATCCATTTTGAGTTTATTTTTGTGTATGGTGTAAGTTGATGGTCGAGTTTCATTTTTTTGCATGTAGCTGTCCAATTTTCCCAACACCATTTATTAAAGAGGCTGTCTTTACTCCACTGTATGCTCTTGCCACCTTTGTCAAATATTAATTGAGCGTATTGCCTTGGGTCCATTTCTGGGTTTTCAGTTCTGTTCCACTGGTCTATATGCCTGTTCTTGTGCCAGTACCAGGCTGTTTTGGTTACAGTCGCTTTGTAGTATAACCTGATATCTGGTAATGTGATCCCTCCAACTTTGTTCTTCTTTTTCAAGATTGCTGTGGCTATTCGGGGTCTTTTTTGGTTCCATATGAACTTTTGAAGTATTTGTTCTAGTTCTATGAAATATGTCGTTGGTATTTTGATGGGGATTGCATTGAATCTATAGATTGCTTTGGGTAGTATGGACATTTTAATTATGTTAATTCTTCCAATCCATGAACAGGGTATGTTCTTCCACTTTTTTATATCTTCCTCTATTTCTTTTTTCAATGACCTGTAGTTTTCTGCAAATAGGTCCTTTACTTCTTTGGTTAAGTTTATTCCTAGGTATCGTAATTTTTTTGGAGCGATGGTAAATGGGATTGTTTTTTCAGTTTCTCTTTCTGTGAGTTCATCATTGATGTACAAGAATGCCGTCGATTTCTTGACGTTAATTTTGTATCCTGCTACTTTGCCAAATTCATTTATTAAGTCTAATAGATTTTTGATGGAATCTTTAGGGTTTTCTATGTACAATATCATGTCATCTGCAAATAATGACAGTTTCACTTCCTCCTTTCCAATTTGGATCCCTTTTATTTTTTCTTCATGTCTGATTGCTGTGGCTAAGACTTCCAGTACAATGTTAAACAAGAGTGGCGAAAGTGGACATCCCTGTCTTGTTCCTGTTCTTAATGGAAATGTTTTTAGTTTCTGTCCATTGAGTATGATGTTGGCTGTAGGTCTTTCATATATGGCCTTTATTATGTCGAGATATGATCCCTCTATTCCTACATTGCTGAGCGTTTTTATCAGAAATGGATGCTGGATTTTGTCGAATGCTTTTTCAGCATCTATTGATATGATCATGTGGTTTTTATTTTTCATTTTGTTTATGTGGTGTATCACGTTTATTGATTTGCGAATATTGTACCAGCCTTGCATCCCTGGAATGAATCCCACTTGGTCATGGTGAATAATTTTTTTGATGTATTTCTGGATCCGATTTGCTAGTATTTTGTTCAGGATTTTGGCATCTATGTTCATCAGGGATATTGGCCTGTAGTTTTCTTTCTTCGTAGTGTCTTTTTCTGGTTTTGGAATTAGAATTATGCTGGCCTCATAGAACGTGTTTGGAAGTCTTCCTTCTTCTTGAATTTTTTGAAATAGTTTGAGGAGAATGGGTGTTAGTTCTTCTTTGAATGTTCGGTAAAACTCCCCCGTGAAACCATCTGGGCCTGGGCTTTTGTTTGCTGGGAGAGTCTTGATTACCTCTTCAATTTCCTTAGTTGTTATTGGTCTGTTCAAGTTTTCTATCTCTTCCGGGAATAGTTTTGGGAGACTGTGTGTTTCTAGAAATTTGTCCATTTCGCTGAGATTGTCGAATTTGTTGCCATATAGTTGTTCATAGTAGTTGTTAACGATCTTTTGTATTTCCGTGGTGTTGGTTGTTACTTCTCCTCTTTCATTTCTGATTTTGTGTATTTGGGTTCTCTCTCTTTGTTTCTTGGTGAGTCTAGCTAAGGGTCCATCAATCTTGTTTATCTTTTCGAAAAACCAGCTCTTTGTTTCATTGATCCTTTGAATTGTTTTTTTGGTCTCTATGTCATTTATTTCTGCTCTGATCTTTACTATTTCCTTCCTTCTACTTGCTCTGGGGTTTTCTTTTTGTTTGCTTTCTAATTCTTTAAGTTGTGAGGTTAGACAGTCAATTAGAAATTTTTCTTGTTTTTTGAGGTAGGCCTGTAGTGCTATGAACTTCCCTCTCAGAACTGCTTTCGCTGCATCCCATAGATTTTGTGTTGTTGTGTGTTCATTTTCATTGGTTTCCAGGAAGTTTTTGATTTCTTCCTTGATCTCCTCGGTGACCCATTCATTGTTTAATAACATGCTATTTAGCCTCCATGTGTTGAAATGTCTTTGCATGTTCTTGTTGCAGTTGATTTCTAGTTTCATGCCATTGTGATCTGAGAAGATGCTTGATATGATTTCAATCTTCTTGAACTTGTAGAGATTTAGTTTGTGTCCTATCATGTGGTCTATCTTTGAGAATGTCCCATGTGCACTTGAGAAGAATGTGTATTCTGTAGTTTTGGGGTGTAATTCTCTGTAGATATCTATTAAATCCATTTGGTCTAGTGCTTCATTTAGAGTCTCTGTTTCCTTGCTAATTTTTTGCCTAGAGGACCTATCCAGTGCTGTCAACGGGGTGTTGAAGTCCCCAGCTATGATTGTATTGTTGTCGATTTCTCCTTGGAAGTCCTCCAGAAGATTTTTAATATATTTTGGTGCTCCTATATTGGGTGCATATATGTTTATCAAGGTTATATCTTCCTGTTGGATAGATCCTTTCAATATTATGTAGTGGCCGTCTTTGTCTCTAGTTATGGTCTTCATTTTGAAATCTATTTTATCAGATATGAGAATTGCTACCCCAGCTTTTTTTTGCTTTCCATTTGCTTGGAAAATTTTTTTCCATCCCTTCACTTTCAACCTATGTGAGTCTTTTGTTGAGAGATGGGTCTCTTGTAAACAACATATAGATGAGTCATGCTTTCTTATCCAATCAGCTACTCTGTGTCTCTTTATGGGAGCATTCAGTCCATTTACGTTTAAGGTGATTATTGATATGTACTTATTTATTGCCATTTTGTTTAGTGTGGTTCTATTTTTGTTCCCATTTCTACTGCTAATTACAGCAGTCCTTTTAACATTTCTTGCAGTGCTGGTTTGGTGCTAATGTATTCCCTTAGCTTTTTTTTGTCTGGGAAGCTCTTTATTTGATCTTCTATTTTGAATGATAGCCTTGCTGGGTAGAGTAGTCTTGGATTCAGATTCTTGTTTTTCATGACTTTGATTACTTCATGCCATTCCCTTCTGGCCTGTAGTGTTTCTTGTGAGAAGTCAGCTGAGAGCCTTATGGGGTTCCCTTTGTAGGTAACCTGTTGCTTATCTCTTGCTGCTTTTA